TCGAATCATGTTCAGGAGAATTAACAGGTGTTCCTAATAATCCTTTAGGTGAGTGTATATACTTCATATATACTGTATGTTGTCAAGCAAGTTGTCAAGCAAATATATTATATACACACACACACTATATATATATATATATTTTTTTTTTGGTGAAGCAGCTTCATGTCTCACTGAAAAATTGAGAAAAATCCAACCTTTCCTTAAAATAAATTTATTGAAAGAGAAACAAATCCTTCATCAAAAAAAAACACATGTGCAATGATCATTGGCACCCCTGGATATTATAGTGAACACAATGTAACTGAAGCATGTTTCCCCTGTAAATTGTACATCTTTGAGTTGAGTGGAGTGAAGAGGAACCTTCAAGCTGTAATCCATGACTTCCTGGTTAACAGGGATACGAACATGAGGAGACACAGAGGCCAAATTCCCTTAGTCATCCATCAACATGGGAAAGATAAGAGAACATACAGACCAAATGAGGGAGAAGTGTGTAGACCTTCATAAGTCAGGGATTGGGTATTAAAAAATAGCTACTTGCCTTAAAATGCCCATTTCTACTGTTAGGGCAATAATAAAAAGTTTTTTTTAAACGTATTTATGTATTTATACACAGTGACATAAGGCTTTATGAAGGCACTATAACTGTAATTTTCATGTTTCAAATCCACGAGTTGGTAATTAGAAAAATGTCATAATGTGACACAGACGGGCCACTTTGTATTAACATAGGGGGATTCACTTGACCCCATTTTCAGCTGCATCTCTGCTCTTGTGGCCTCCTGAAACTTCTGCTTCATAAACCACCCCCCCCCCCCAGCCCGTGTCTCTGCCTCCCCAGTCGAATGTGATTATTTTTAAGCGAGGGTAATTTTAACTCTGTGGCTGTAGTGTGGAGGTGACTGTGCTTCCTCCAGAGGATGTTCACAAGGACTTCCATGTTTCTCACAGATCATCTGCATGGCTTTTCAGAAGTCGATGTGTGGCCCAGGTCTGGTACTCGCCTTCTGGTTTAAAGAAGTTGTCAAGCAAATATATTTTGGCTCTAAGTTTATGTGAAAGATAGAATATTAATGATCCAGTGTAAATGAGGAGATATTTTCTTTCCCTGCTTCCATTGGCTTTGTTGTGCTGTGGAGGCACACAGACTGTCCTGCCTGCTAAGGGTGACCAGAAGTCACTGCTGTAACCATAAATCTCTTCAGGTGAACATTTGTTGCCGGTTGGCAGCTCCTGGACAGTTTGTGTGGTCTGTAATTTGCACATTTCTGGGGTCTATGTAAACAGTACATGTGGTACTTAATAAAAAATATATGTGCATCTACAGTAAATTTTCTGTCCGTCCATCCATCCATCCATCCACTGCACAACTTACACACGAAGTGTAATGTCTTCATTTTTAGATAAACTTTGTATTTCATTATTATTATGTGCTGTTAAGTTAATGTTAACTCCTGGAAATCATGTAATCAGTGTTCTGCCAGAACTTCTGCACAGTGCTGTATAACTTATATAAATATATATGGTTTAAAATGTAGTAGCAGGAACCAACCGATATTAGCAGGAAGTTACCATTTGAGAACGGCTTTTTTTGTCTCTAGCCTGCTTGATTTAATGAAGGAACCTTCCATTATAGGGTTCCTCTTAGCAATCAACAGTCAAATGAGGACATTTTAAAGGGAAGTTGGCAGCAGACAGTGCTGATTTATTGCTATCTGCTGCCTTCCCATGATCCCCTGACATGGCTGCCTCTGATAGGCTATCCAAACCCTGTATGACTTTCACTGATGCCTACCGTCTCCCCCTCGTTTTCATCCTTTGAGTGTTTCTGGTCAGTTTGAACTATTTTTGCAGTAAAGATTTGCAGCTGTAGCCTCCAAGGGCTAGAGGGCGCTGCCTTTCACCACACCTTATGATCTCCTGACTATTATGCCACTTCAGCTGGGCTTTCAGGCGCTAGCCCACTAAACCCTATTATAATGCCTTTCCCTTATCACAACACTGGCCTTAATTCTGACAGATAACCGTTGACAGTTGCTGCATTAGTTTTACAGTAACTACAAAATTAAGGTTGGATACTGGTAACATGCCATATTAGAGACTACAGGAGGAAAATTAGCTTTGAGTACATACATAGCATCCTGCAGCCTCTGACCAATACACAAACAAACTATGAAGTGATAAATAGATAAAATAATTAATAGCCTTCAACTTTGTTCCAGGGTCTCCCTGCCTTTCCTGGCACGTCATGGACGACTCTGCAGAGCATCCTAGCTGGGTCTCCTCACCACTCTTGGGCCTGAACACCCTAGCCAACTTCCCCCCCGGTGAGGACGGTGAGTGGCTGCACCCCCCAGTCCATTTCCCTGTCCCAAGCATGGCCATTCGTCAGGTCCCTCCTCCCCACTCAGCTTGGTCCACCTAACTGTGGTCCTCAAGGCCTTCTGCTATTTAGACTTTCCTTTGCAGATCTAAATAAGCAAGCTGATTATATCCACCTTCTTTATCAGCAGGGGATTGAAAGGGCTCAGAAAATAGGCATGATAAAGTGGGTCTTTCAGAAATCATCACTGCATGTGTCCGTGGTTCAGGTCCACAGTGTCACCCTACTGGAAATCTTAAGTGATTAAAATCAATTTTCCAGAAGGGGATGGAGATGACCTTCGGCGAGAATAGAGGTGACTGAATGCCTCTCTTTCTCTAGGTCACCATGGTTACCCATCCTCCATCCTGAGTAACATCCACTGGTTTGAGGGGTCCGGGGGCCATCCCCAAGGTCCTTCCTATGGCCCCCTAGCTGCTGTATGGGCTGGTGGACCCTTCGCTAAGCACCCTCTGCACACACACACACCACCGCCCCCCCACACCCCGAGTCCAGCGTCTTCCTTCATCTCCCCCGTGGAGATGCTCTTCCTGGCCTGCGATGGAAAGCAGAGTCCCAGACTCGAAGAGGCCTTGAGGGTCGAGCAGCCCGGCATGATGGGCGGGCGTGCTGGAGACTTCCCAATCCTGAGCTCTGGTGTGGGCAGCGTCTCTGCAGCCTCCCCTCGAAGCCCCTCCCACGTGGTGACGCCCTACAGCTCCTCCGTGGGCCCCCATCAACATCACAGGACGGGCTCACCAGGCGCATGGAGCTCCTCATCACATTCCCCAAAGCTGCGGAAGATGAGACCTTCCTCACCAAGTAAGGGCTCCTTCCCAGTCCATCACCTCTCTCCCTTTGGCGTTTCGCTTTGCAGCAAAAGGTCAGAAAGCTCTGACCTTGAATATCTTCCCATAAATGATCAAATGTTACCAATCGAATAAAAACACTTACATGCTGCTCAGAAATAAGTAAAATTAAAATCAGCCCAATGCTACATTGTTACTGTAGACTATAGGGATTATCTCCATTGTAACCTGATTTTTATCACAATGTGTGTGTGTGTGTGTGTGTGTGTGTGTGACACACATCAGCTCGAGAATGTGTGAACTGTGGAGTCTGCATTACACCGCTGTGGCACCGTGATGCAGCGGGTCACTACTTGTGCAATTCCTGTGGAGTCAACCATAAGATAAACAAACGGAAGTGGCCCCTCCTCCAGGCCAAAAACAGATCGGTACGTCCCGCCACCCTTCCGACATATGGGAATGGGACAGGGGATTTTAGGGGGACCAAAGCTGTACTTCCCAATATTTGTGCATGGAAGCCGTGGGTGGGGGGGGGTCACTTTGGCTCTGCTCAGAGCTTTTACTGGCTGAGGGCTTTTTTGGCGGGGGGTGTTAAAACAGAATTTCGTCTGTTTGGCACTACATGTTTGTCTGTGCACTACATTCTTACTGCTATATGCAACAGACTTTCCGCCTGGGATCCACACAATCCACCTTAATCTTAAAAAGAAAGTGGACTGACCGGCCTGTGGGTCTTTAGAGGCAAAATTTTTGGGAGGGAGCCGGGGTGGGGGCTTTGGCTCGTGATGCCCTGCTCATGCCATCTCTCCCACGTTCAGATGGCGGGCAGGAGGATCGGTATGCAGTGTGCCAACTGCCACACCAGAAGCACCAGTCTGTGGAGGCGCAATGCCAGTGGCGAACCCGTGTGTAATGCCTGCGGGCTCTACTTTAAGCTGCATAATGTGAGCGTACCCTTCTGGAACCTTCCATCGCCTCTGTCCAAACGTCGCCTCTTGAATCCGACCATCGCTGACAGCTGAACATGTTTCCGTTTTGTGAAGTCGGCCAATTAATTAGGCAGACTTTTAACATCGATCCATATTTTAAGGATAATGTAACACATGTGACAGTACCGTCCTAATTCCAACCACTCCTTCCCAGGCGAACAGGCCTCTCACCATGAAGAAGGACACCATCCAGACACGGAATCGCAAGGTGTCCATTTTTAGCAAGAAGATGAGGCGTGGTGATGGACCGGCCCGCCAGCCCTGCATGCCCCAGGCCCCCGTCCCGGAGCAGTATGCAGGCTTAGACTCTATGGCCCAGCCCGCATATAGATACCCCACCCCCCTTCTCCCACCCCCCTCCACACTGCAGTCTGAAATGTGGCCCACACTGGGCTGATTCAGTCACAGCAAAGTCAAAGGTCATTTGAACGTTCATACTGCTAAAAACCAAACTGGGAACCGAGCTTTAAAAAAAAAAAAAACCACACAGCCGCGGACATGGGGCTCTCAAAATGTGTGTACGTGCGCACTCTTGGGAAGTTCACTTTTCTTTAAATGGCACACTGTAGACACAATATTTTTTTTTTTACTTGTTTATTATGCTGAAAAGCTGAAATCTGTAAATAAACATGATGAAAGAATATATCTGTTGAGTTATGGGGTTGTTTTTCTTTTTCTAACTTTATTTTGTATTGAGAATAAAATATAAACAATGAATAGGAGGTCTCAATGAATCATCACAAAGTTATAATATCTGAAAGCCAGGTACCACTCAGAAACTAAATAACACAAAGACAATAATAATAATTATATCTATATTTTCTCCACTTTCATGCTCAATAAACGAAAATCACTTGGCCTAATTATAAAATCCATTATTCCCAGTACTTCATGGCTTTAGTCATGGTTTCTGTAAGAGACGTTTCATTCTGGGTCCCAAACATGCAGCCAGCACACACATTGATTGATGATTTGTTGCTGTCGTCCTCACTATTCTGACACTTGGCCATGTGTGCATCATGTGTGCATCATGTGTGCATCATGTGTGCATCATGTGTGCATTGTGTTTTGTGAAGTTCTGCCCTGCTATCCTGACTGGCTGGAGCGTGGGGGTATTTGCTCTGGCCTTCTGTCACAGCACATTACCGCACATGTCCGTATATCAGGTCCTGTGTATCCCCCGTCAGAGGTGCACTGATCACAGTGCTAGAGCCCATGCAACAAGCATGTATGCATGTGCGCTTTCATGTGTGAGTCTTCATGATGTGTTTCTTACACAAGGACGTGCACAAAGTATCACTTTATTTTAATTGTGGGAGATGGGTGCCAGAAAACAGAAAGAAGTCAGACAAATAGCACTCTTAGCGAGAGTGTTTTGCTCTAAGGTTCAGGAAAAGCACTTATGAAAATCAGTGAAAAAGAAGACGATTCTCATTTTGATGCCAGTATATGATTTCTAAGTGATCAGATTGGGAATCCCTGGCACACCTCGAGCCCACGACAGACTGGTCACATGACACCTAAAGAACTGTAATTAGCTGCACTATGGTGTAGAACCAAGAGGATCCATTCCTGACCCAGGGAACACATTCTGTGACTGCTGAACTTCTACATGGCCCATAAAGGTTACCAGACACTCACAGTCCTTTGAAATGTGTGCCAAATACTTCACAGATCTCCTGGGTATGCCCAGTCTGGGTCACGGGCCATGCCAATGTAAATGAATGAATGAATGAGGTTTACTGGCCATTTAAGTCCACACTTACAATGAATCTGTATTTGCATACTGCTTACAGTGAGATAGAGTAGAAACATCTCACAGACCTGAATCACAATAACGTTAAATGTTAAATGCATGAATAAATGAATGAGAGCTTAGGAAACTGAAAGATGGAGTTGAAACCACTTGGCAGGAGAACCATGTGCCCCTAATAGGCCGGAGCCTGCTGACTCTGATGGGTGATGGGTATGGTCTGCCCTGAATACCTGCTGATGGGTATGGTCTGCCCTGAATTCCACACAGGTTAAAGCATCACACAGCAAAGGGTCTGTGATGATGAAAATTCCCACCCCTGAGCTTGGCAGGCATTCCCTGAGTGGGTTACCCCACCCCTGAGCTTGGCAGGCATTCCCTGAGTGGGTTACCCCACCCCTGAGCTTGGCAGGCATTCCCTGAGTGGGTTACCCCACCCCTGGGCATCTAAACAGTCTGTCATCCTAAATCAGCAGGATGTCATCTTATACTGAAATCAGCTTATTTCTTCACCAATTTAAAAAGACCAAGGTATACAAATGTGCAATTTTACATCTCAGCCACACATTTTAACAGAATTGCACAGCCTTAGAAAACACTGTCCAACACTATTGCTAGTATATCACATATTTATTGTTCTTCTGATCATATCAACCACTTCCTCTTTCTGTAGGTGACGGAACCTTTAATGACGGCCACTGGGACATAGGGAACCTCGACTGGTTAAAATAACGGTGTTATATTTAAATGATCACGCAGGAACACCGTTGTCATAACACCTTATCACCTTTTCTTTTTTCTCCTATTTTGCACTCTCACACTCCACAGACACAACCACTCCAACGTCCATCACTCCGGCAGAGCACAATCGATAACTCAATGCATCACTACAGAACAACGCCATCTCCATGTATCACTGAAAACCCGATGTGCATACATAACATATTCCTCCTCCCCAGCAGAATTTCCCAAATGAAACATAGACATGAGGTAGGGCTGAGCGATACGACCTCAAATCAGCATCACAATTAGCATTTTACCTCTATTAATTAATGAACAATTTTTTTTTTGCCCTGATATTTCAGTGACAAGGTTTGTACTGTAAATATGCTCAACTATGAAAGCTGAGATATTTTTTTCTAATGAAAGACTGTATATCTTATTTTTATGATTTTAAAATAACTGAAGGAAACACACAAATTTTGAGCCATTTACGGTTATTTATTAAGTACAGTGGTACCTCAGAACTCCGGATCAAATCCTAAAAAGTTCGAGTTCTGATCGAATTTTCCCCGTAAGAAATAATGGAAAACCAATTAATTGGTTCCCGACCCCAAAAAATTACACCTAAATATGTTTTTTTAGCATTTAAACACAAAATGAACCATTTAAAATAAGAAGAGCATTTACTGTACTAAACACATCTAAGCACATTTATCAAAACAGTAATTTGTAAAGTAAGAAAATAAATGTATCCAAACAATGTGTCCTGCCCCAACCGCTCCTTCCGTGTGCCACGCCCCCTCGTTATCCTCGTGTGGGATCCCAGTGTGATCAGCTGTTTCTGGTTGTTGCCGTTAGTCCTCTGTATTTAATCCGCGTTTCAGTTTGTTTCCACAGTCCAGTCACTGTATTGTCCGTCTGCGTTTTGCCTGCCTTACCTGTAATTAAACCCCGTATTCCCCGATACCCTGATGTCTGCGCCTTTGTCTCCGGTCCATCCCTGCTCGGCACAACAATATTATTATAATTAAATGTATTAATGGCTTATTATTAATATAAAAATAATTAATAAGAATTCTTTATTTTTAAATTAATTTTATTATATAATGATAATTACTGTTACTGTCTATCATTGTGTAAATGTATTTTTACTATCTAAATATATGTATTCAGCTAGTGTAAACATGCACGATGCTATCACAGCAAATATGCCAGGCTGAGACGTTACCTTTTGTTTCCTCTGAGAGACGTGCCGCGTGACTCATTTCCCCGCGTGTACAAGTTATCTTAGGTTGGTGTTCACGGTTTGACTTCTGAGATTCAGATCGAGTTCTAGGTAAATTTTTTTCGAACTGGTTGGTACGACTTTTAAGAAATTTGAATTCTAATGAGTGCGAGAACTGAGGTACCACTGTATTTCGAACAACTGAAATCAAAGCACAAATCGCGTGCAGTGAAAACGTTGAAGTTCCCTAAAAAGTAGAAAATACATAGTTTGAATTTCTTACAGACAAAATAAATTACACTGGAATCCGTTTACAGTAATACCGTCTGTCTGGGTGAAACTGATCACTATAACTAGACTAGAGATGCACCGATCTACCAGCTAGGGACCGGAATCGGCGGATTTTCAGTGCGCTTGCCCGGACCAAACATTTTTTGGCTGTGAGCATTAGCTTGTGCTTGGCTAAGGCTGTGAAAACTCGCTGAGTGGATCTAAGCAGTGGACCCGTGTAGAACAACATCGTTGAGATATATGGCCACACGCACTATGCCAGTCAGTATACAGACCATGACCTTTTGGAAGCAGCTGGGGCAGTTGTAAGGCCAAATGGCATGCAGGTATAGCAAAACACTCCTGTGTGTGATATAAACGCTGTGAGATTTTTGCTGAGATCATGTGTGGAGAACACCATAGAGCAGTGGAACTGAGCTGTGAGCTCTTCTGAGGAGGGCAGTGGAAACTTGTCTGGGATCACTGCATTATCCACTGCATGGAGATCAACACAGATACACAGGGCCCCTGACTTCTTCTTAGTCACCAGGTTTGAGACCCAGGGTGAAGCGTCCAGCAACTGCTGTAGCTCGGCAGAGACCCCATCACGGAGAGCCAGCAGGATTTACAGTGGCTGGATGATGGGTTTAACAGATAGGCTGAGTGGAGGTTAGTGTGTGAAAGCAGTGAGGCAGCCCAAGCCAGTGATGGCCACAAACAGCAGCAAGATGATTCTGCTTACCACAGCTATGGCATGTCTGACCACAAGCTGGACAATTGAGGTCTTTTGAGGCATGAGACCAAGATCTAGTTACCACAAGGTTGTTGTGAGTGGGGCCAAGGCCAAGGAAACAGCAATCGGAGGGGGCTGCTTGGCTGGAAACACCCCTGGCCGAGGATGGAGGGGCTTGGGAAGCCCTAGTTTAAAACACCTTCATCAACACAAACTCACAGGTAAACACAAGCTGCATTACAGCAAGAATGACCGCTGCAGGACTTCCAAGTGATCAAACAGCAGTCTGTATGTAAATCACCCCAGATAGGGTGTCGAACCATCACAAGATGCATATGTGATTCCAAGACACCAATTCAGCCACCTAGGGTACCAGGATACCCACACAGGCATGCGGAGAGCAGGCAGTGTGCAGATGGCACTCTCAGGAAGTGAGCTCCAAACCTCGATGACATACCACCACGTATCACCCACTGACAGGACGGCCTCCTTCTCCATTCATCACCTGTTTCTTTCTCGTCCTTCTCAAGATGTATTCTTCTTCTTGTTCTTTCTTTGAAAGCTGGTGTATAGCACGCACCAACATCAGAGTGTATTAACTACCATCATGTCCTACTCACTAATCACTAAGATCCTTCATTTTGTTTTGGATTTCTACTGCAGTCATTAACTGTTCTTCTAAACATTGCCAGGTGGCAGTCATGTTGAAATGTTATTGCTAGGTCTCAGCTTTCAAAGGATCAATGTTTCGCAAGAACCCTTTGCTTGGAAGCGAGGACTCTGCGTTTGGAAAATGTCCCCGGTGTGTGAGCGAGAGATTGGGGGACTTTGTGTGCACGTCTCCACAGTCATCGAAAATCTCCCTTTTCAAAATGTGTCCACCACACAGGGGCGCCAGAGGGGCATGGATACCATGATAGATTCAGGGGTCCCAACACTTCGTGTAAAAAAAATTGTAAAATTCAAATATGAACACAACTTCAAATGCCTGGATTGTTATTTATTGTATTTCTATAGTAACTGCACTACTGCTGTTCTGGGGGTGATGTGGCCATTTTGTTTTATGCTGACATTAAAGGCGTATGGTGTATTAAAAACGAAATCACACACAAATACATCAGTTTCAAAAGCAGAAATAAATGCACAGGGTAGGGTTTAGATATTGAGATTCGATAAAAGTTGATAAAAGGGCTCAAAATCTCTCCTAAATCATGCCAGTGCAGCGTCACATGTGTGCATCGTGTCTCAGAATCTGTTTTAGTAGCAACAGTCCCACTTCAAGAAACATTATATTATATGTTTATTAAACGGCTTAAACACTACCTTAGTTTGCCAAAGCGTTTAGATCAAAATTCAGTTCTGGCATTTTGTGTATCATCTGTTTCTCTGATTAAAGTATCAGGCTTCATTTTTAGATTTTCTTAATCGATGGAGAAAATAAAGCAACCACATTAAAGACAATCACTTCATGTAAATCTAAGACGTGAATTTGTAATGCCAGTTGAGTTTCATAAATCATCTGTTGCGGTTTTGTGTGTGTGTGTGAGATGCAGAGCCGGTCTTGGTGTAGCTGCTTGGCCCAGTGCTCTCCAGTTATTTTTCCCCAAATACCAACACAAAGCCAAACGCCACTGCCCCCACTTATGTGACGCAGAGCAGTCGTACAGGTTAAAAATTTCACTCTCTGGCCAGTGGGCCACCTACTGGAGATCCCTGCACTCTGTTCCGCATCTGTACCAAATCCAGTTATTTACACGCCCCAGTGCTAGCAGTGGGATTTTCTGTAAACACACTCGCCCCCATGCACACAAAGGACTGGTGTTTCTGTGCTCCTATTGATGCAAGCAGGCCATAAACACTGTGGGTGTGTGTAGTCTTTTCCTCCAGGGCTCCTTCTCAAGCAAACGCCCTCTACTGGAAGTTTAAGAGAGTTCATTTTGTGTCCATCAAACACCAGGATCAAGTGTAATTCAGGGACTTCCATTCATGTAAACCGCATAGCCCTGCTAACACTGGGAAGGTGTCCACATTTCATACATGCAGAAAGAGCTGGAGAAAGGAGTGAAGCACACAGCAGCAGACCTGCCCGCAGAGCCATTACACCATGACAAAATGTACATGTATACACATACAGTATATATGACCTATATAAATGGGCATTGCAGACATCCGTCTTTCTTCTGTAACCGCTTATCCTATTCAGGCTCGCGGGGGGGAACCAGAGTCTATCCCAGAGGCTACAGCACAAGGCAGGGAACAACCCGGGATGGGGTGCCGACCCATCGCAGAGCACACTCACACATCACTCACTCGCACATGCACACCTACGGCAATTTGGTAACACCAAATAGCCTCAGCATGTTTTCGGACTGTGGGGGGAAACGGTAGTACCAGGAGAAAACCCCCACGGCGACACGGGGAGAACATGCAAACTCCACACACACGGAACCCTGGCGGAGCCTTGAACTGAGGTCATTGAAAACATATAAATATAAAATATGAAATGTTTCATAAAGGCACACAGGACCATTATCATTACAATTACAAATATCAAAAGAACATGAACGACCAGTTTCCTGTTCCAGAACTGTGCCTCTACTGTTCATTTGGTGCCAGTTATATTTCAGTCCACCCTTTCATGCAGGGCACATTTGTATCTCTGTGTGTAAATACACATATGATCTGGTTTATATACACGTGCATATGCAAGAGCCAAAGCTTTTAAATCTGCTTACACACTTCCTTGGTCACACACAGACCCACAAAAAACACACTGAACATGCAGCTTTTCCATCTCCTGTTTAATTCCAGTTTTTGGCCTTTCCTCCTTAATTTGATCTTCTGCCATTAGTGTCACTTTCTGTTATATTAATGTTCATTAATATTCCGAAACCTTTGCCACAATACAGGCAGGTATGTCAGTGCCTATCAGATGGGATTGTCAGCTTACACATGTTCCATTCCTGGTGTCAGAAGACACACTGGACACCCTTGGACACCCTTGTGCAAATGAATTGAAACAAGTTGTCACACAGACCTGCATGCAGTGGCCTGGGACCTGCTGGTTTGCACAGCCAACAGGGCAGAGAGTGTGCTGGGTGGATGGACTGTGGAGGCACTGTGCCCACAGACTGGCAGATCTGCCCGGGTGGGTTAGAGCTGGGTGATATGACTGTGTATAAACCCCCCATGTGCGTTTCAGGTAAATGCCCTGGGGTTGGGGGGCCTCCCCGTGTCGTTGGGGGGTTTCCTCCAGGTTCTCTGGTTTCCCCCACAGTCCAAAAACATGCCAAGGTTAACTGGAGCTGCCAAGTTCCCCACAGGCATGAATGGTGCGTGAGCCCTGCGATGAATCAGCCCCCCATCCTGGGTTATTCCCACCAGGTCTTAAATATTCCCAAGGTGATAAGTATGAATTAATGTGACTGTGATGTCTGCCTTAACTGTGGTCAATCTGAGAGCATATAGATGCAATAACTTGTTTCAATTAATTTGCACAAGGGTGTACATTTTAGCTCAGATAGAACATCACTATCTGATATTGCAGCACGGTCATAGAATTCATTCCCAAAAGCAGCCCTTGGATGTGGCTCTCAGTGGCGAAGGGCAGAAACGCAATGCATCCCCTCGAACCCTAAGCACACCTTTGCATGTGCTGTAGATTGCAGGTTTGTAATGAGATGCAGAGGCTCAGGAGATGCTGCAGTGCGCGTCTCCGTCCTTCCCACTGCGGCTGCGGGGCCTCCCCCTCCCGTCCCGCCGGCTGGATCCTGTCTCTCCTTCCATCCATCCCGCCCCGCGCCCTCCACCCGATACAGACCGATGGAGCTGTGGGGGCAGCGGGATGGGCTGTCCGAGGAAGTAGCCCTCCTCCTCGGACTCGGAGGAGGAGGAGCAGGTGGAGCAGGGATCTTCGTGCTTCCAGCGGCTGGGCAATAGGGTGAGAGGGGCATGGTTGTGGGCAGGCGGGCCCTTCTCCAGGTCCCCATGCCAGTCCAGGGCATCCAGACAGGGCCTGGTGGCATTAGTCCGCTGGGGGTGCCTTCTCGTGCTCAGGTGAAGGGGTGTGCCAGAGGCGCCCTGACTGTGGCTCCAGCCTGAACCACCCCTTCGGGAAGTTCGCTGTTGGTACGGTCCATCTGCAAGGAGGACAGCGGGGACAAACGAACAGTAAATGGTTGAGGAGATAAAGTATGAGGACAGAAGTAAAATGGCTTAGAAAAAGGTTGAGATATTGGGGAAGATGCTCAAGAGAGCACAGAAAAAAGTTGGGTGTGAAAAATGTGTGATATAATCATGTAACACTCGACAGTGTGTAAAGTAACCCCGCCCATAGATCATGTGACCACACGGCCCCTCGTACCCAGCAGCTCCATGCGTGGGGCTCCGCACACTTGCGGCGTTTGCCTCTGGAATCGGAGCTTCCCACATGTAGGGTCCTCGCCCCGCCCCTGCTCTTCCTCATCAGCATCCTCCTCGTCTATCAGGTAGCTGCAGCTGATCGGCTCGCGGAAGCTGACCCTGGCGCCGCCGGGCCGGGGGGGTGGGGGGCACGGGTCGGGCGGCAGGGAGGTAGCGGGCGGTGCGGAAACAGCCGGGGAGGCGGGCAGACTCTCACTGGGAGCAGCTGAGGAGGCACACTGAGAGTCACACACTGGGACAGTGTGGTTTGGAGCAGGAGAGAGAAAGAGGGAGAGTCTTCATTTTACTTTTATGTGTGTGTGAGTGTGTGTCTAACAAATATACAACAGCAACCTAACTGATATTTAAAGGACACAGATATTGTCAGGGTCTCTATTTGGAAAATAATGGAGAAAAAAAACAATGCACTGATCAGAAATTCTCATGAAAAAGTTTAACCTTATTCTCTCACAGATATAAAAATAGGTAAAACAGAGCTAAATATGACGATTCCTACATCTGACGACACAGCAGCTGTCCAATAAGCAAGAATGTCATTTTACCCCGGCTGCCAAGCTCGCCTGCACTGTCCGCTTCCTTCTCAGTTGACGTGCCTCTTGAAGAGCATTTCGGGAGGAACTCTAGATACTCTGATGTGACGTCACTTGCACCGCGCTGAGGGCGAGCGTCGCTGGGGCGAAGGTCCGGTGGCTGGGGGCTTTGAGCAGGGAGGTGTCCGTTTGGCTGTGCCACACTGGAGGCAGCTAGGAGTTGGAATGAAGAGACGGAGAGAAAAGTTAGTAAATGACCCATGAAAAAATCAAAACTGCTTGTGTGGTGATGCACCTGTTTACCACCAGTGGGTCATTTTAAGTGTTTCAAATACAGATTAATTGTTACATTTTTTAATGGTCAAAATATGTTATTAGGGACTAATGGTAACAGATAAAGGAGTTGGAAGAGGAAATTGACACTGAATTCCTTTAATCCATTCCTATTTTGGGGTGAGGTGCTGACCATGTACACAGGCTCACATCATTGACTACATTCATTCATAATTTGTAAATTCGAACCCGGATTTATGCTGCCCTTCTCTGGAACGCCGCAGCCGGCTGCAGTGAGGTTTTCTGAACACTGGGTGGTGCTGTGACACCGTCGCTGCCGATGGATCGGGCCGGTGGCATCCACACACTGCGTCCGTCGGGATGCGCTCTGCAGTGCTGAGTCGCAGGAGTCAGAGCTGTACGGGTCCTCCCCCAAAGAGCAGGGGCGTGAGCAGAAAATGAGGCCCCCGCGAGGAAGGAAGGGCCGGCCCAGCAACGGCAGCCGGCAGCGGGTGCAGCAGAAACAGGACTCGGCGGCGTGCCAGTGCTGGCCCTCATAGGTCATCTGGCCCTGGTCGATCCCTGTGAGGGAGGGAGGCGTTCAAGGGGGATGAGAAGAGAAACACGTCTCCACGGCAACACTGACACATTCCGCTACAAGCGACCAGCAAGCTAGCCCCGCCCTCCCCAGCCGCAGTACCTATGACCTCCCCACAGGAGTCGCAGTAATCAGAGTAGAGGGACTCGTAGCAGGAGCAGCAGTGAGGCCGCCCCTCACGCATGATGTAGTGCTGGCCGCCCAGCGCCGCCTCGCACCCGGAGCAGCAGAAGTGTCGCAGGTGCCAATGCCTCCCCTCGGCCTCCGCACACTCGTCCGCCAGGATGATCTGGGCCCGAGAACCAGGGCGTTCAGGTTAGCTGGAGCTAATTCCACAATTTAATCCCTCTATTAAAATTTCCCATGAATCCCTGGTGTTAGAAATGGTGCTAAAAACACTCACAAGAAACTTTGAAGTGTGGCATATGAAAGTGAATTTTTCTGTGCAGTAAAAAGGTAGGGGATGAAAATGGTGAAGGATATAGAAGGGAGAGAGAGAGAGAGGGAGGGAGGAGGATAGGGGGTGTGGCCTGACACCTCGTCACAGGCCTGGCAGCGCGGTCTGATCTGCTCGGCATGGTGCCGCCCGCAGTACATCCGGCCGTCCTGGTAGAAGTAGATGAGGTCCACCAGCAGCTCATGGCACTGGCAGCACAGGAAGCACTGGGGGTGCCAGCATGCGCCTGGCCCGGCCCGGCTGGCCAGCACCGCCAGGTCACCCCCCTGGATCGGCCGGCCACACTGGGGGCACAGACACCACGGGGTCAGGCTGAATATGCCCCCGGTAAAGTGAACCCCCAAGCATCCAAACTTACGGCGCTTTTCCATTGGCATCAGAACCGTGCCGGAGCCGAGCTATACTGCGAAGAGAGACTAGTTACAGCGCAGTTCCAGCTCGCTTCGGTTTTCACTGTAAAAGGGTCGGCTCAGTAACGGTGTCGCCGGGTTTGGAGAGTGACAGTGAGGTAAAACTGAAGAGATGCTTATATACTGGTCACACAGTGTACATCACGATTTACTATGTGCCGATTTCCGCTAACAAGTCTGTGAGAGTCGCCATGTTATGTTAGCATCAAATGACAGCAGCATTAGAATTCGCCTGCGTGAATTTGCATTATGAATCCATTCGTTCAGCTGCTGTATAGCACTTTTTTAAGATGCTGGTTGGAAATTTTCAAGCTCAAAGTTATCGGGAATGTATCAATTGATCGCAATGTGGGATACTACTAATAATGAATGATATATGGAATATGGTCTTTTTTCCTTCAGATAATGGTAAATGGATTGCATTTATATAGCGCATTTTTCCACTCCGTCAAGCACTCAAAGCACTTTACAGTTATGCCTCACATTCACCCATCCACACACACACATCCACACACATCCACACACACACATCCACACACACATCCACACGCCGGTGGCGGGTACAGCCACGCAAGGCGCCAACCTGCTCACCGGGAGCAATTTGGGGTTCAGTGTCTTGCTCAAGGACACTTCGATGGGGTCAGGAGGAGCCAAGGCTCAAACCTGCAACCTTCCGGTTGCCAAGCAGTAGCACTACCTCCTGCGTCACCATTGCCTATCATCGTTATCTCCCTGCATTTCACCAAATCACGCTTTTGGCCCTGCCAGTGCGGCTACGGCTCCCATGACTTACAGTGAAAAGCGCTGGTTCACGATACGGCTCAGTTCCTGATGGAGAAGCGCCATTACACTCACTTTCTGCTTATCAAAACAGCACAGCCACAGAATTATGTGCGACAATTAGCTTGTGGTTTCTTACTTGCACATACATTGTCCACTAATTCATTTGTTTTCTTAATATTTATTTCAATAATATTACAAAAATCAGGATTTTATTTGTGTGCCACGTACGCTTTCATATTTCGCACCACGTTTACTTGTTTGCACTATGTGCACCATCTCTGCAGCTTGTCTGTTTCTCAGTAAACACTTGTGCCCTGCTGCAGTATGTACAAGAATCAATAAAGTTGAACTAATCTAATGTAATCTCAGGTACAGCTTCAGAGTCATACGTTAGTGCTGTGATCCTAACAACAGCTCGAGGCAGAAAGGAGGGAGCAGCCTTTTAAATGAAGTACATCACTGTGCTGCGTGCAAGCAGTAAATTAGGACAATTTTAAAATGCTTATTAGTATTCCTGTTGTTTGCGTACATTTTACCTGTTGTACGTCATTATTTCTGTTTTATCTGAGGCCATATATGAATATTACAGCATGAGGTTTGGTTAAGCTCTACTAGTAGTTTTAACTGAACTAGCTTCTTGACTATCTCTTGTTTTTTGTTTGGTTCTGCTTCAGTCTTTCTTGGCATGGCACTGGATTCTCGGACCCTCTGGCACCCCGTACCTCCCGACAGATGGCGCTGGTCATGGTGACGGGGAACAGCCGCACATTCCCCTTGCCCAGGTTCTCGCTTTTCCTCTTCTGGCTAAAGAGCTGAAGTTCTCTCTTCTCATTCTCATCCAGTGTGTTACAGTACTGAGGCTGAAACACACAGGGTCACGGGGCATAGGTTGAGAGAGGCAGTGTCACAGGATCCGAGGCTAAGAGAGGCAGTGTCACAGGGCTGAAGCCGAGAGTAGCAGAGTCACAGGGACGAAGGCCAAGAGAGGCAGAGTCACAGGGACGGAAGCCAAGAGAGGCAGAGTCACAGGGATGGAAGCCAAGAGAGGCAGAGTCACAGGGATGGAAGTCGAGCGAGACAGAGTCAGAGAGACGGAGGCCGAGCGAGGCAGAGTCACAGGGATGAAGGTCGAGCGAGGCAGAGTCACAGGATGAAGGCCAAGAGTAGCAGTCTCACAGGGTCCGAGGCCGAGAGAGGCAAAGTCACAGGGACGGAAGCCAAGAGAGGCAGAGTCACAGGGATGGAAGCCGAGCGAGGCAGAGTCAAAGGGATGAAGGCAGAGCGAGGCAGAGTCACAGGATGGAGGCTGAAGTAGTCACAGTAATTTGTCAGCAGAAGAGCAGACATTGTGGACTTCACTTTGCCTGCCTATGCATAGCATGTGTCATACCTCACTGTCATGTGCTGGCAGCTGGTGCAGAAGCTGTTTAACTCTGTAAGTTTCCCCTAGGCTGTTGACATAGGGCACCTTGTCCTCCGGAATACAGCTGAAGTACTGGTGCACCTGCGTGGGGTTTGAGCATGAGGGGGGATCAGCCTTTTCTGCTCACCCCCCCATGTGGTTCGGGACAGTTCCGAGGGAGCACTCACCTGTTCGGGTTTGAGCCTGGGGGGGACCCAAGCGTACTCCTCAGAGGCACACCCCGAGTCATCATCAGAGATGGAATGTCTCCGGACATCAGCCACTAGCTTAGCCACCATCCTGTCCAATGCTCCCGGCACAGAGCGGAACCCGTGCTCCTCACGCACACACCGGCAGTGAACGCAGGTTTTCCTGCAGGCCGAAAAAAGACCCCTTCACCTCAATCTTCAGAACTACGCCTGCCCTGATATTTCTTATTAAATCACTTTTGCACTCTATATCACGGCCAGAGGTCAGCAGACTTGGGCATGAGAACCAGATCCAACAGACATGCAATGCTGATCCAGAATCAGAATGACTGTGCACAGAATGGAAATTAACAATCAATTTTGAGAAAAGAAAAGCTAAAAACACATAACTCTACTTCATCCAAAAGCTTCTGTCTCCATGGGAGGCAGAGATTAGCTTCAGAGAATGATGGGCTTTGGGTTCATCCTCTCAGTCAAGCCACCATGAGCAGCTCTGTGGAGAAGCTTGACCTGCTCCCAGTTGCCAAGCATTAACGTGATGATGAGACAGAAAGCTGCTTTGCCAAGTCTTTGCCTCGTCGCCTGTTTGTATGACAATCCCACCATGACTATTGAAGCCTACCCCCCCCCCCAACCTGCTGTACTCAAGTCTCTAGTGCAGTGTTTCCCAATCTGGTCCTCGGGGGCCCATACACAGTCCATTTTTTTTGCTCCCTCCCATCTCCTGGTAGGGAGCAAAAAAGTGGACTATCTGACTATCTGGTTGGGAGCTTGGAGGTAAACATGGACCGACTGTGGGTCCCCGAGGACCAGATTGGGAAACACCGCTCTACTGGAATTCGTATCGGAAATCAAGCAAACGCCCAACCTATCAAACGGGGTGGAACAAAGGGGTGCAGCAAAATATCTGGGACGGCCGTTTGCAGCAGATGCTGCTCAGCTCATGCTAACCCATGTCGGCCTTAAGGGAAAGTTCTCAGAGCAGCAAATGCGTGTACGAGCACACTCTCAGAAACACGCGGACAGCTTGTCATATCAACTGAAACTTGATATCTCACAGATTTTTTTCTTTTAGCAAGGCTTACAGCTTCCCCTTCATTCTCTAGCTGCAATAACATTATATAGTGACCCACTGAAGAGGACATCATATCAACAACTGCCAAGTTACACCCAAATTATTCACAACTGGAAAAATATTGTTATTGTGATAAAAAAGTCTCCAGTGGTGAAAAGGGCACACGCAAACACATAGTCTTGCAGCCACCTCCAGCATCAACAGGCGGTTTAATGAGCCAGATGTCCTCTCTGATAACAACATCTGCCCCTTCTCTCACTACCACAAGGCTGCTGCCTGGCAGTAGTCGGTAACGGTCTTGGGCTAAGTGACATGTTTGGGTCAGGCCTGTCCCTATACAGACGGCGGCCCCGAAACGCAGAGTGGCAGCAACCACTGATTTCGGATCAGCTTTAACTGGGTCAGTGGCCCAGAACTGTGACACTGGGCCGGGACTTTCAAAGACAATGTGCTGTAGACGTCACTAGGAGACAAGGACAGTTCTGTGCTTGTGAAGGGGGGACACTTTGGGGGTAAAAAAAAAAAAAACATTTTGCACATTTCGCCTGTTCCCCCTTTGCCCCCCACTTTCCAGCCTCCCGGCATGTTCCGTGGCTCGGCCTGCTGGTTGACGTGATATTTGGACGCTGTTCAGACAGGGATCTTCTGACACCTCGCTAACGAGCACCGTTTCGGGGTTTTGGCGTAAAGTCGCCGCCTCTACAGACACACCAGCGCTTCCTCCAGACGGGAATCTGTGATGGTTCCTCTGAATACGTGAGCACTGGCCAAGCACTCGGCCCTCCAGTCAGCTGCTACTTTTAGCCCCTATGAATGCCACTTCTACTTTAGGTCCCCACTATAACGAATACTTTAACTCTCCATAGAAGGTATTTAACAGCAGGAGCTGTGGGCAGTAATCTTATTAGCGTAGCGGAGAGGATTAGGGCTTGGCGGGGGCGGGGGGCTGGGGTTCTGGAGGAGCAGCCAGACAGGAAGTGAAGGTACAACAGAAGTAACGAGAATGAAGAAAAGAGAGATTTGTACTTGGAATAAAGGAGAGTGTGTCAGTAAGCTTTGGCATTGACAAAACAGTCAGGTAGTAAGTGGAACTGGCCTGTAAGGAGTGGTGGAGATGGAGACCTGCACGAGAGGCTCCTAGAGATGGCTTGTTTTCTTCAACAGCTGGTCGGCTGGGGTGTGGATGGACCCCAGGGAAGAGCTAAAGCCAGCTTCTGCTTCAGCAGGAGACTAATTCGATTAGCGTTGATGCTCACGCTGGTTCTCGTCAGCATCTCTCCCGACTCTTTCCTCGTCTCTCGCACGCACACGCCCCACTCCCACCAGTCAACAATCAACATGCACTAACTAATTAAACCAAATAAACGGTGCTGTTGGCCACAATGTTGGCATGGGTTCATACCCCGTGACTTCAAGTGCTCCAGCTGATCACGGAATCCCTAAATGGATCACAAACCCATAACATTTCTGTTACGAGGCTAGACCTTCAACACTTACGGTCCATAACCCCTCCACCAGGGTCAAAAGAAGCACCGCAAATATTGCAGTTTTTTAATGTAAATCCCTACCAACCACGGCTTTGTGTGCATCTCAGAGCGAGCACACAAGTCGGTCCGATGATAGTTAACGGCATGTCTCTCCCCGCAAGTGACTGCTCAGACTGCACACCAGCTGCGGACAATTACAGCCGCAACAAGCAAATACGACTGGCGCAACATCTGTACTGCGAGAAGTACAGGTGTTACGGAATAATCGTGTCCCTGCAGAGTCACAAACGAGGTTCACTTGGCGGAGCTCAGCCTCCCGGCCAGCAAAACGCTTCCCATGACTGTACACTGGTGCAGGACAGGACCCACGACTGTACACTGCTGCAGGACAGGACCCACGACTGTACACTGCTGCAGGACAGGACCCACGACTGTACACTGCTGCAG